TGTGATATAAATTAATATGAAATAATTACCATAATCAAGCTAACTTTTAAAGGTTATTTTCATTCTTTTTTTTTTTGAGATAGAGCCTCACTTTGTTACCCCCAGTAGAGTGCTGTGGAGTCACAGCTCACAGCAACCTCTAACTCCTGGGCTCAAGCAATTCTCTTGCCTCAGCCTCCTGAGTAGCTGGGTCTACAGGTGCCCACCACTATTTTCTGAGATAGGGTCTCACTCTGGCTCAGACTGTTCTCGAACTTGTGAGCTCAGGCAATCTACCCTCCTCAGCCTCCCAGAATGCTGGGATTACAGGTGTAAGCAACCTTGCCCAGACTATTTTTATTCTAGATTGTCTTCCAATTGGTAGCAACTCACAACTCTTCCAACTCTTTATTTTTAGGTTTCTCTGTCTCTCATTTCAGAAAGGTGCAGCAAAACTGCATTACTTTGAACCTGTAATATGTAATTTGTGATTATTCCACGAAGGGTTGCTTTGCACAAATAAATTACCATGTGTAATCATGTGTGAATAATGTATAAAACAGGAGTGTTTATGAAGATGAATAACTACGGATTTAAGAGGCAATGTTCACACAGGTCATAAATCTGATATAAAAGTACAAAATTTTATAAAACCTGATATGTATGTTAACTCTAATTCCTGTCTTTTCTTAGTATTGGTTCTCATTAATCACTTTTAGTGTCTTGACTTAAAAATAACATTGAATTTCTTTTGGTGAAGATGTAGCACTTATTTCAGAGCAGGTCTTCTAAATGAAGTAAAGGTTTATCTGCAAAGGTCTCTAGCAGATACATTACGGGTACTTACTATTTAAAGAAATTGTATGTTAAATTTGTATACATGTGTCATAAAATTGTAAATAATCACTTGTAACAAGATTTTTAAACAACTTTGTCTTAACAGTTTTTAAACACATTTATAATTTATATACCAGCCAGCCATGGTGGCTCAGGCCTATAATTGTAGCACTCTGGGAGGCTGAGGCGGGTGGACTGCCTGAGCTCAGGAGTTCCAGACTGGCCTGAGCAAGAGCAAGACCCCATCTCTAAAAGAGCCGGGTGTTGTGGTGGGTACCAATAGTTCCAGCCAATTGGGAGGATGAGATAACAGCATCACTTAAACCCAGGAGTTTGAGGTTGCTATGAGCTATGATGCCATGGCACTGTACCAAGTACAACACAGTAAGACTCTGTCCCCCCCCAATATATATATACACACATATATAATTTATATACTAGAGGTTTCACCCATTTGAAGTGTACAATTCAGTAGTTCTTAATATATTTAAAAAGTTGTGCAACCTTAACATAATCTAACTTTAGAACATTTACTAAGTTTTTAGTTTGAATTTTGCATTTCTGGTTTAAGGAAACATTACAGACTAGCACTTTAGAAGGCTGAGGTAGGAGGATTCTACTTGAGGCCAGAAGTTAAAGACCAGCCTGGGCAACATGGAGAAAATGCTTCTTGACAAAAATAAGAAAAATTACTAAGGCTTGGTGGTGCAGGCGTATGGTCCCAGCTATTCTGGAGGCTGAGGCAAGAGAATCATTGGTGCCCTGTAGTGAGCTATGATCATGTCACTGCACTCCAGTCAGGGCAATGGGGAGACACCCTGTCTGTAAAAAATTAAAAAATAAATTAAGAAGACCTTAGAAAGTCATTCATAAGAAGTGCCTTTAAGTTAGTTTGGTAAGAAGCCTGTAAGTTTTCTTTTCAACATTCAACCAGTAATTTTCACAGTACCACATGTGTACTTTCAACTTGTTTCAATTCTTTAAAAAAATATTTTTAGAGACAGGGGTCTTGCCATCTTGCCCAGACTGGTCTTTATTTCTGGGCCTCAATTGTTCCTCCTACTTTAGACTCTCTAGTAGCTGGGATTACAAGTATGAACCATCTAGCCTGGCTATTCCAAACTATGAACAAGAATAATTTTTTTCTCATCTTAGTACATTAAATAGACTTTGTTTCTGTAAACCAATTTATAGATGATAGAGTAATAAAAGCCAATCTTGCTGAGCGAGGTATCTTTTGCCTGTAATCCCAGTACTTTGTGACACTGAGGAAGAAGGACTCCTTGAGGTCAGGAGTGAGACTTGCTCTGGGCAACATAGCTAGACCACATCTCCAGAGTGGGATAAACAAAACACAAAACTAGCTGAGTATAGTGGCACATGCCTGTGGTCCTAGCTGCTTGGGAGGCTGAGGCAGGAGAACTATCTGAGCCTAGGAGTTTAAGGGCTATGATGGTGCCATGCACTCCAGCCTGGGCACTGAACTCCTGGGCACAAGTGATTATCCTGTCTCTGCCTAAAAAACAGCTGGGACCATACGCATGCACCACCAAGCCTTAGTAATTTTTCTTATTTTTGTGGAGAGGCATTTTCTCCATGTTGCCTAGAGTGAGACCCTGTCTCAAAAACAGAAATAATCCAAAAAGGCCCATAACATAGAATTACCATACAATGCAGCAATTCCACTTTTTGGTATACACTCAAAACAAAGAAGAAATCTAGAGCTATTTGAAAATTCATGTTCGTAGATGTATTATTGACAAGAGCCAAAAGGTAAAACAATCCAAATGTCCACCAAGAGATAAATGGATAAATACACAAAGGAATATTATAAAGTCTTAAAAAGGAAGGAAATTCTGACACATACTACAACATGGATGAACCTTAAAAACATTATGCCAAGTGAAACAAGTCAAAAACAAAAGGACAAATGTTGTATGATTTTACCTATTTAAGATATCTAGTGTAGGCAAACTCATAGACACAGAAAGTAGAATGTCAAGTCCATGACAGAAAGTGGGTGTCAGGGCCTGGGGGAAGACGGGAATGAGTAGTTTTTAATAGGGATAGAATTTCACTCTGGAAAGATGGAAAAAGTTCTAGACATGTACAGTGGTGATGGTTGCAAGATGAAGTGGGCATACTTATTGCCAGTGAACTGTACACTAAAACATGGTTTAAGTAGTACATTTTAAGGCCAGGCGAGGTGGCTCATGCTTGTAATCCCAGCACTCTGGGAGGTGGAGGTGGGTGGATTGCTTGAGCTCATGAGTTCCAGACTAGCCTGAACCACAGCAAGACCTTATCTCTAAAAACAGCTGGGTGTTGTGGGTGTGCTCAGGAGGCTGAGGCAAGGGGATCACTTGAGTCCAAGAGTTTGAGGGTTGCTCTGAGCTATGAGGCCATAGCACTCTACCAAGGGTGACAAAGTGAGACTCTGTCTCAAAAAAAAAAAAAAAAAAAGTACATTTTACATTACATGCATTTAAATATAATTTTAAAAAGTGGGGCCATTAAGGTTCAAGCATCTAAAATAGGATAAATCTATGCTGGCATTGCATGAGACTGGAAAAAAATAATAAAACAGAATAGGATAAATCAAAGCCATTATTTTCATTTTCCTTTTTTTTATTCCAAGGTATGTATGTAAGTTACAAAACAAACATGTATCTTTATCAGTATTCAGTTCTAACAATAAGCATATGACTTGTTGGAAGTCATAGTCCCTTCCCCAACCAGCAACCATTAATTAAAAGCATGCAGTTCTAAAACCACACATTTAAAAATGACTTTACCCTAATATTCAAGTTTTTATTCATATTTTTACTGTCAGATTTTGTATATATCATATAAAAGGCAGTGTGCCTTAAGGTTAAGAATGCAGGTTCTGGTGCTAGCATTTAGCTATCCCAAATGTCCTGGAGTAACTCTGGGCCATTGCCACTCGGCACTTTCGTCCTAACAGGGAATCTCAGATGAAAGGAAATACTTTCCCTCTCGTGAACAGAGGAAAAAAAGAAAAGGATAGAAAGATAGTGTGAGAGTAAGAAAACCTGTTTGTCGTAATTGATTCTACTTAAACATTAGAAAAAATGAAGGTAGAATCCTTCAAGTCCACCTGCTTTTACCTTCCTTGTTTATGTACAAGATGATAAATATAAAGTGTATTTATATCAGCAGGTGCAAAAAAACTCTTTTGGTATTCTTTAAGCCACTGACCTCTGAGTGTGGTCAACAGACACCAGACACGCTCTAAGTTTTTGTTTTATTTTGTTTCACAGGCCTGGCTCTCCTTTTTGGTTTGTCCCAGGTCTATTTCACAGTGCGCGGTGAGGTGACCTCGTCCCTCATCCACTTACTAATCCTTCGCTTCTGTCCCTGCCTTGCCGGACGCGCCGAGCAAGTCCTCTCGTCTTTCGCCCACATGGAAAAGTGCAACATCCACTGGGCACATCTCCCGGGAAGACAGCTAGACTCTCAAAAATCAAGACAATTCCCGCGTTCCGCGGGACGCCCAGGCACGGACGGCAACGCGGAACGCTCGGCTGCCGAGCTCCCAGGTTCAGGTGCTCCTGCCGCCCGCGGCTGCCTCCGCCCTCGGCCTTCCCGTCCCACGCGCCCCGCCCCCGGCGACCTCCGACGGCGCGGGGTATTCACCTGGGACGGTCGCGGCCGCCGCCTTCAGCACGCGCGCCATCTTGGGAAGGGACCCGCTAAGATACCAGCCCAGCCGCAGCAGCGGGGATATAAGCGGCTGAGGGGCGGGGACGGAGGCGTGGCGGGACGGATGGGCGGGGCGCCGGGGCGGGGCGGGGCCACGAGGTGCCCCAGGTGGTGGCGATTGTAGCCACTTTCTGTTACAATACAACGCTTGCTGAGGCCACTCACTAAAGCATAAACTTAAGCCAGGACGTGCCACTCTTTGTGGGTCCCTCAAGCATACAAAGCAGAAAGTTTGAAGAACGTTCAAAGGCGCTACGGCTAACCGGCGGCTCTTTTCGGCTTTCCACCCTTCCCCTCTGCGCAAGCCCAGTGAAAGCGCTCGCGTTGCTCTTGACGCGGGTGGGTGGGTCCGGAACCTGTGCGCCGCGGAACTTTTGGCGCTGACTTCCTCGTTGCCCGTGGTGCGTCTTTGCGGCGCGGCTTCCGGAGACTCTTACATGAGGCTCTACCGACGCAGGTACTGGCAGCCATGGCTCCGCGGGTCTGGCGTCGGCGTACCCTGGAGCGGTGTCTGAGGGAGGTCGGTCAAGCCACTGGCCGGCCCGAGTGCTTCCTTACGTGAGTGCCCGGACCGTGGGCTCGGGGGTGCGGCCTGGGTCTCAGACGGGCTGGAGTTGCAGGTCCCCTGCAAATTCTAGAGCGAGGGTTGGGGAGGTGAGGGGAAGTGGAGATCGCTTTTTCCCAAATTTCAGACACTTTACGCTCCCCTAGAATTTTAAAAATTGTTAATATCTGTGCACTGGCTCGGCGCCTGTGGCTCAAGTGGCTAAGGCGCCAGCCACATACACCCAAGGTGGCGGGTTCGAATCCAGCCTGGGCCCGCCAAACAACAGTGCCGGCTGCAACCAAAAAACAGCCAGGCGTTGCGGCGGGCGCCTGTGGTCCCAGCTACCTGGGAGGCTGAGGCAGGAGACTCGCTTGAGCCCGGGAGTTGGAGGTTGCTGTGAGCTGTGATGCCACAGCACTCTACCCAGGGGGACAGCTTGAGGCTCTGTCTCAAAAAAAAAAAAAAAAATCTGTGCACTGTGGCTGTCTCCGCTGGGGCTTTCCGAGCGTACTTTTGAAATCGAACTAAACTCAATGATAAACGTTCGGAGGCCTCCTTTGAAGAGTTAGGCATCCTCATTCCTGTACACTCAACTCATGTTGGCTGCTTTTTCTTCTCTTGTACCGCCCCTAACGCACCCACTGCTTACCTGTTACTACACTCTATTGAAAGTATGAACTTGTCGCTTGTCTGTGCACTCCTATAACTAAGCTTCTTGAGAATTAGAACTGCCTCTCACGTCCCTTCCCAGCCTAAACTTTCCGTATGTATTTTGTTTAAGAATTTCAAATATGGTCTGTAAAAGTATGATTAAGATTTATATTTCAGACTTCGACCTTGAGTTCCAGGCTCACAGTAACTGTAGACAAACTGAGCTTAATTTGAAGACTGTGTTAACCAGTTTGATGAAAATATTTCAAATTGTATATAAAACCAGCACATTGTACCCCATGATTGCATTATTATACACAGCTATGATTTAATAAAAAAAAAAAACTGAGCTTGATTTGATTTCAATAGCACACAACTGGGAGATCCACAATGTACAACTTCTAACAACTTAAACATTTTTGATACTCTCAGCATCTCAAATTCACTGTCCAAAATACAACTATTGTTTCTATTTACTTGACTATACTCTGCCCTCCCTGAATTCTTTTCCCATACTCTACCACCCAAATCTTCCTACCTCAGCAAATGGCAGTTCTGTCTTTCCCTTTGCTTAAAGATTCAACTAGATACTTACTTGATGTCTTCACTTTTTTCTGTTCTATGTTTGATTGCTTAGCAGCCTTGTCAGTTCTATCTCCAGACTATATTTTGAATCCCCTCCTACTCACCACATTCACTGTTCTAACTCCAGCATCAATCATGACCACCCTTTACCTGGAAGGCTGCAACGATCTCCTAATCACCCACCCTTCATTCTTCTTCTGTGGCCCTGTATCCGAAATGTACATCATTGTTTCATCCCTCTGCTTGGAACCTTCTGAGGTTTCTCCTCACTGTTTTTTTTTTTTTTTTTTTGCAGTTTTTGGCCGGGATCAAGTTTGAAACCACCACCTC